AAAAAAAAAGAAATATATAGATGAAGAAACTTGGAGCCATTATATAAATAATTTTTAATGTCATCGTTTTCACGTTTTCTTTTCTCTTGTATAGCTTTAATAGTTCGTACTGCGATATGATGGATTGATTTGACCCTGTCACGCATTCATTCGTTTCTTGTCGCTAAATGCACCATACCGGGATTATTCTGGCTGCTGTAAATAATCGATATGTATGTATATGCATATGACAATGGGTGTGAACCATGACCCATTCGTTGTTGATCGAAAAAGAGAGAGAGAAGGAGAAAGCCGACTCTTTCTCTTTTTCTTTTCCCTTCATGTAGGCCTCCTGTTGCGTTTTACTCTACACTTATCGTAGTATGAAACAGGCTGTCCGATTGAGGAGGTGAAGAGAATAAATTAGTGTTGGTTCTACCTCCTAGCATCAATAAATAATAGACGACATCGTCTGAGATGGTTGTAGTATGAATAAGAGATGAAAATTACTAATACTCATGCTGGATATAAAAATAGAAGACGAAGGGAGAAGAACATCTTAAATTATAGACGAGAGTAAGATTAGGGCCGAAGCAATGACAATGGATAAGCTCTCAATATATATATATATATTCTTTCTCAGTTTTTTTCCTTCTCTCTTGGGAACATTTGTCACGGCAACTTGTCGATAATTGCTTATTAGACATACATATATACATATAAAATTCAAATTGGTGCTCATGTGTAAAGAAAAATGCTGCGATTGATTATTTAAATAATTAGGTTGATAAATTAATAAGAAATTCTATTCAACGGATGTATAATGATCATTAGAGATATGATATATGTATGTATGTACATGTTCTTATGTTCATAAGTATAGTAAAATATTGACTGAAGCATCAAAATGGCATGTCATATATGTTGTACTTAAGTTTTCATTAAGGAAAGAAGAAGAGAACTTCATTTTATTAATCGAATTTAGATCGTGTCGTTTGTCGACATTGAGCAATTGAAAAATCAATGAATGGAACTAATCAAGCTGTCTACTTGATAGTAGAATCATTCTCATTTTATCAAGTGGACGCGCATCCTATTAAATTGTCCGAATATGATCAGCATTCAAGGAAAAGTATTTTCATGAATAAAAAATATTCTCGTTTTCTTTCTTCAAATAAATACTAATTACAGGAAATAAGCTAGCAAAATTAAGATTTGATTCATATAGTTTAAGAAATAATTATATGTTTATTAATATTTTTTCTGAGTAATAGACTAATCAATGATCGTTTGGTTTATCTCGTAATAAAAGAGTAAATTGTTTATAATAATCATTGAAATCATTTGCTAATGATGAATTGAAAAGGAAATATAATAAATTTTTAAATGTTAACCAACGATAGGAACCAAATATTTCATCATGTATAACATGAGCATCACCATATGTTTTTAATCGTGATGGTTCCCACATATGAAATGGAAGATTTGGATCAAGACGTTTGGAATCATGTTTACGTTTATCAATTTTAATATTTGAATGTTTTTCACAATAATCATTTAATAACATTGAAGAATAAACTTGATCCATATACCATGCTGTATCACCTTTTGTCATATTTGAATCGTATATTTGACGAAATTCATGACGAGTATAAAGATTTATTGTATCGATTGAAAATGGGGCTTTATCAGAAAGAAGAATCGAATCTGAGACTGATAAATTCGATTTTAAAAGTTCTTGTCGTTGTATTGATTCAAGAAATATATTACGCCAAAATTGTTTTGGCAGACATATATGACTCATTGGATACATATCATAAGTTTTATTTCGTCGTTGATATGTACCACAACAAAATGCATTAAAAATAAATCCATCTGTATTTTCTTTTAATTCATAATCTTGTTTTAATATTGGAATAATATCAGTATCAGTTGTAAGAATATAATCTGTATCATTTATAATTGTATCTGGTAAAAATCCAGCAAATATACGTACTAATTGAGATATTTTGATAGAATATGATATATCACATTGAAAATTTATTACATGTACACCTAATCGTTTTAAAAATGTTCGTGATACATTAAGTTGTGGTGATAAAGATGCATTACTCTTCTTAGTAAAATCACCAGCAAAAACAACAATTACATCGTAACCTATACGTTGCCATGCAGCGGCTGCTATTGGAGTATAGAATATATACGATCGAAGTTTAGAATGAATAGATGACGAAAATATAGCAAATCGACGAGTATTATTTGATAAACTTTTTGAATAATTTGAAGCTGGAGGAGGAGTAGCAGCGGAAGTAGGCGAAGTAGCAGTGGAAGTAGGCGAAGTTGTAGAAGACAAATAGGAGACTGGTAACGATTGTACGGTGAATTTTTGCGGTGAAGTTAATATTTTTGGTGTTTTATAAAATAGAAGAGTAATGGGAATAATTATGGATAGACCAAGTATACATCTAAAGAATTTGAAACCCTGTAAACAAAAAAACAATATGTTTTAACGTTTATATCTAACGGTACGAATATATAAACTTTAGAGATCTTATCCAGCGGGAGGGCAGTGTGGGCATCGCTCTCCCGGAGAACGATTCTGCCCTCTCGAAAATTGTAATTTTTGTGCCTATACTATGTATTTGCCCTTCAGAAATTAGATTTTCGCCCTCTCGGAAATCGCTATCGCACTCTCGAAAGGAAAAGCCTAGATAAAACACTGATCTTGTGTTACATAATGTTTAAACAAACTATGTTTACAAATACATGATCATCTTTGACAATTGCTTAAATTTGAAGTTAAATGAACTTTCTCTATATGATAAAATCGTATAGAATTAGAGTATGAATTTTATTTAATGTCTCTTTTTATGCATTGATCAAGGATAGATATGTGTTGGAAATTAACTTTTAGAAGGCATCGAACGTTTTTGACTTGCAAAGAACAAAACAGATGATTATTATCAAATATTTTTTCTTAAGAATATTTTCTTGAGTAATTTATAATATCTTGAGAAATCCGATAAAAATCTATGAAACTATTTCTTAGTAGTATTACTACCTAAAATCTTCATAATAAAAATGACACTTACCGCCTTTTTTAATGAAATCATTTTCAGTCTAGTATCTATCTGATTTTGTTAGCTCAACAATAAGGTAATCTTCTCACGAAAGACTTTCCTGTGTTTTCTAACAGACAGATTCAGTATTGATAAGTTAAAAATTTTAAGTTTTGTTGAGAGAGAGAGAGACGAACAAATATCAAAAGTCATATTGAATAAGAATTATGAAGTTAGAAGACATTGAATATTAATCTCAAACTATATATTTTGTGTCTATATTTATGATTCGTGTACTGCATAATTGTAAGAAAAAATCAATAAAATAAGTTGAATGTCCTACTAATAATATAATAGCTAAATATTTGTTGATACCTTTAGAATCATCTTTGTGACGTACTCATTACTGCTGATTTGATGTCTTTTATCAGTTTCTAGAAAATTATTTTTCTTTCACGTATACTTCCAAGAAATCTATAATCGGCATAATGGTTATAATGGACATTAAAATCATAATGGGTATTAAGGCTATAATGGGCATGAACACCATAACGGGCATGAAGGTCATCATGGGCATAAAGGACATAATAGAGGAAATGAGTATAATGGACATGAAGCCGGTCTTCCACACTCTAAGACAATTTTTAGTTTCAAAAATCGAGTGAAATGGATTTTTGCACACTTGGAAAGCGAGTTTTCATTCAGAAAGTTATATGAGTTTCAGAATGATTCTATATATTCCAGTCTAGTTCATAAACTGTAGATATCTTTCTGAGTATAAAAGCAAAAACGATGTTGCCCACATTCTCATCATCACTATCACCCATCTGGCTGCGAGATCGTAAATAGAAATCTAGAATGAGTATTCCTTACACCTCCGTCCAGAAAGTCATCCTGTATGTATGTTCTGATACACTCTTTAGAGAGATGTATGTATTTGTATTTCTCTTTCTTGGAAATCCTTGTATTAGAAAGCTCAGTTTCAGGGTTGCCAAATCTAAATTTTAGAAATCAGGAGTTTTTCCTTAAAAAATAAGGAGAAAAACCAGGAGAGTTTTTTCTTTAACCAAGAAGGAAAATACAGCAGTATCATGCACTTTTTCCAAAAAAGCAAAGCTTTTTATTCTCAAATGCTTACAGTTTTGGTTCTTAACAAGCGAGTTAATAAAACGATCTATCTTGCTGAGCAAAACAAAGAAACACATAAAGATAATTACACATGGTTTAGTTTACTAATTATTTCGAAGCTGTACATTGACAAATACATATAAAACTGATATAAGTGTGTCTTAAGAAGCCGCCGAAGAATCGAAACAAAACAAAGTAGAGCACCTACATCCTTTTTTGATACTATTGCCATACGTTTGTAATTTTCTTCAAAGTGAATTTATTTGTTTAACAATTCTACACTATTTCACAGATTTACTCATTTTAATTTTGAGCTCGACATCTATTAAGATTATTTTTTTATTCTATTCCTATTATCATATCGTCAAAATTTTGTGTAACTGGAACTTTGACTCATGATTAGTTCTTTAAACTCATTATTTATCGACTCATGGTAGCACTAGAATCAGACAGAATCTAACAAGATCGACCAGCCCGTAGATATATTATCTAATTATTTATTGTAATGCTCAGTTATACATATGGTTTTTGTTGCATGTGTCATATATGCTCTCCGAAAATATACCCTCACACAACACTCTTTTCTCTATTTATTTCT